TATTAATTAATAATAATAATAATAATAATAATAATAATAATAATAATAATAATAATAATAATAATAATAATAATAATAATAATAATAATATATCAACAAATATACCAATTATTGGTATGACTAGTAATCTATTAACAAATGATAGAATTTGGAATCAATTAAATAATAGAAATTTAAAAGAATCAATAGTTATATTAACTAGAAAATTAGTTGATATTATATCACAAGAGAATATAAATCAGGATTTACAAAATTTGACAAAACAAGTGAATATAAATTCATTAATGTCACTTTTACAGGTATTGATTGGAAAGAATCAGAAATTATTATATAGATATAGTGAAATTGTACAAGCTTGTATGGCAATTTCACAAACCACACAATTAGCTCAAGATTATCATTGGGAAAATCTTTTATCTATTGAAAAGATTTTATTATTAACTTGTATGACTGATAATAATTCTGATGAAGAAGATGATGATGATAATTCTGAAGATAATAATAATTCAATTTTAAATCAAATTATTGATTCAATGAATCAAATAATTAATAAGTCAACACTGGAAAAATATACAATTTCAGAATTATTGGTATTATCTATAATGTCAATATCACTGTTAAATAAGGATTCTAATGATCCTGATTTTCAACAATTTATAAATTCACTATTTGATAGAATTAAAAGTGATTTATCTGAATCTATTAATTCTATAAATTATCAGAAAACTATGGAATTTCTAAAAATTTCATTAGATAATGATGATATTGGTACTATTGATAAGGATAATATTTTAAAACTTTTAAAATTATCCAATTTATCAAAAATTATTAGTAGTAAATTAACTCTAATTAAAGGTCTAAGAGATAGATATTTATCAGATTTTCACAATCTAGTTCAAGGTGGTTTCTCTGGTAGTACCTATCAATCACTACTCTCTCAACTCTGTAAATCCATTTTGGATCCATCCTCTAAAGAATATAAAGATTTGGAAAAGTTTAATCCTTCCACTTTGGTTGGTTCTCTATTTAGAGGTTGGAGTAAATCTAAACGTCCAAAACCCTCTGACAATAGAAAAATTATAATTTTTGTTTTTGGTGGTATTACTTTTAATGAAGTTAAAGAATTAACTGATTTATCTGAAAAATTAATCAAAAATAACAAACAATTTGAAAATTATCAATTAATATTTGGTTCTACTTCTATAACCAATCCAAATAAATTATTTTCTCAATTTTTTTTTAATTAAAAAAATAAAATATCAAAAAAAAATATGGTAGCTAAAGACCAAGAAACGCAGCAAAACAAGTTAATGTAGGCCGAGGTCATACTCTGACTTAAAAAGGGAAACCACGGACAGAGGAAAAAAATAAAAAATATCGTTATCTGCAGGATTTGAACCTACGCTCCCAAGGGAATTGCATTTCGAGTGCAACGCTTTAACCACTCAGCCAAGATAAATTGATATCAAATTTCAATTTTTATTTTACCCGGTTTTTACCTGAAAATTAACTGCAAAAAATTTTTTTTTTTTTTTTCAAGAGTCTATGGGTATATAGGGTATTTTGCAACAAAGAATATAGTGAATAAGTCTGAATTGGAATTTTAAATGTATAATCTTGGTAGTTCTCGACTTAATATGGGTTTCGATTTACTTATCAAGAGAATATTTATTTTAGAATTGATCTGAGTGGTTAAAGCCTTAAACTAGAAAAGAGGGTATAGGAGTTTCCTCATCATATTGAAGTTTTTGTTGTTATTCTTTTAAGAGAAAATCTATAAAACAATCTTTGCATATTTTCTTTCTTTTTCCTGTTCCTTCCTAATTCAATAAATCCCAATTTTTTATTATTTTTTGAATGAATAATGTTACTGTTAATCTTTTAATTCTTCAATATCTTTATTATTTTTAATTAAAAGATGAACATTAAAAATTTTTGAATTTGATAACACTACTTTTGAATTTGGAATATCATTTGAAAGTGCTCTTAATGTTGCTATTTTAAATAATAATATAAAATATTAATATGAAATCTAATAAAAATAAAATGATATTTAAAATTAAATACCCTTTTCAATATCTAAACCAAAATGTAACCATCTATCAATTAATCTTTTTTCTAAAATTTCATAGTCACATTGTAAGAATAAATTATAATCAAAGTATTGAGATAGAGAATCCCAAGGTTCATCATTTAATAGTAAATAATTCCCTTCAACGATTAATATTCTATGAGAGCTTGTAACTTTAAATGCAGCATTTCTAGATAAATCTTGTTGTCTATCAAATATAGGAATATAAATATCACTGTCCACTTCTAATCTTAATCTTTTAATCAATGATAGAAAACCTAAACAATCAAATGTAGGAGGTGAACCTTTTCTATCAAATAATTTCATTTCATTTAAAATACAATTATCCAGATGATAACCATCCATTGGTATTATAGCTGCTGTGCTATCAATCAAATCTAAACTATTTATCATTGATACAATCTTTTCAGATAATGTTGATTTACCACTTGCAGGTGATCCTGATAATGAAACTATTAATCTTTTTTTATTTGATAATTTTGATAAAATTTTATCACAAATAAATTTTATATTAATCTCATCTTTCATTGTTGTTTTAATTGAAAATTGGCAAATAATTTTAAAAATCAAAAAAAAAAATAATCGATATAAATAATAAGAAATATTTAAAATAATATAATATTTTTTTATTTTAAATACATTTCATGTATTAATGGTAAAGTATCAATATCAAATTGATGATCATTTCTCTTTTTAATAACACAAGTACTTAAAAATAGAGTAACAGATTCATCTTGAACCACTTCATTAGATTCTTGTAGTAGTTTAATAATTTCTTTTAGATAATAACTGGATGAGTTTGACTTTTTCCAATAATAAATACGTTTACTGTGATTATTGGTAATTTTCATCAGTAGTAGTAAACTGTATTGTGAAAGCTGACCAAGAACATCAGGATTAAATTTAATAATATCAAAAATTAATTGATAATTTTTAGTACCATATAAAATTTCAAATACCACTGTATAGAAATATTCGGGAATCAATCTAAATGCTTGTGATATTGGTAGAATTTCTGTCCATTTTTCAAAATTATTGGGATACAATTTAATATAGATCATGGTAAGAGTTTTTATAGCATGACTATTCAATGGTACATTATTATCAAACTGTTTTAATGCCTCTTCATATTGATTATCCCTTAACAAATCAATTAATTTAATATTAAATTGTATTAAATTATATGAATTTGGCATTAAAATTTTCTTTTCTTGAATTTGTTGATCTATAATTTGAATTGCTGATTTATATTTTTCCCAATTATCTGATGTTATATTATTAAATTCACTATAATTATAATTATTATTATAATTTTCAATATTATTATTACTATCTATATTATTATTCTTATTAAAAATTTGCTGATTTAATAAATGTTTTAATTGATAATTTAGAATTTTTGTAAAGAAAATTTCTAAATGCACAAATGGAATGGAAGGGTTAATTAGATTACATGCCAAATCTAATTGATCAAATAATAATAGAGTGTGAATTAATTGATTATATATAGTTGCGGTTTTCCTCACAAATGGTGTTTCTTGGTGAAGTAAACGAATAGATTGATTAAATTCATAACTGAACATTAGAGAATAACTATCTACTGTAAATAGTAATGATTTAATGGCTGGTGGACATTCTTCTAGAAATTTCATATATCTAATTAAAGATGCTGATCTATTATTTCTATCCATAATGATTAAACATCCTTGTAATACCTGTAAAGTAAATTCTTTTTGTTCTTTAAATCCTTTAATTATATAACTATGAATTGCATCTATATTTTTAGTTGATATATATTGTTGTAATAAGTGATCTTTACTATTATTATTATTATTATTATTATTATTATTATTATTATTATTATAAATTAATTCTTTTTGTTCTTTTAATATCTGACGTTGTTTTTTTACAATATCACTTGCGTGATCTTTAGTATGTAAAAATATTTGAATTTGTGTTATATGATTCTCTGGATCTTCACAAAATAATTCATTATTTTCATTATTATTATTTTCATTATTATTATTATTAATTTCAAAATTATAATCTGGTATTGAATGATAGGTTTTTTCAATTGATTTCCAAAAACCTAAAAAAAAATTTGGAGTATTAAAGGCAAAACCTTTAATTACCAGCAATGCTGGTTTAGAAGAATATTCATGTACTCTTTTAATATACCAATTCAATGCCAAATTAAATTGATTTTTTGATAGTAATAATACAATTAAACTATCAATCATTGAAGGTAAAAATTTCTTATCAACCATTGACATTACTGCATCAGTCAATTCACTACTAGGTTTAACTACTTGATTATAGTATAGTAATATTGTCTTTTTTAATCTCTTATTACTAACCCATTTTAATAGTTCCCAACATTTCGAATACTTTTCTGATTTTTTTGTATTTGGAATATTTGGTACCAAATATTCCATCAGCGCTTGTGTTGATGGTAAATTTACTCTATAGTCATTTTCTTTCATCTCTGTTAGAATCTTTTCCAACAGTTCTAAATTGTCATTTAAAATTGCAAATCTTATAAATTTTAGATATATAAAATTTATAGATTTATAATCATAATTTACTCTAATGGATTGATTTTGTTGTTGTTGTTCTCCTTTCATTATAGAAAAATAATCATTGGCAGTTGTAAATTGATTATGATCCAATAGTGATACTATAATCTCTGATAGATTCATACTAGTCAATAAACCACATTCTTGTAGAATTTCAACCAACTGAGGTGCCACTAAAATATTTCTACTGGTAGTTATAGATACTAAATGATAAAAGCTATTTGTGACCAATAGATATTTGAATTGTTTAATATTTCTTTTAAAAAATAGTAAAAATTCAGACATTTGGTCTCGGAATGCATAGTATTGCAATATCATATTAAAACCATTAAAACTTCGTTCATCATAACTATTGGCTATATATTTATAAAATAGTAACAACGCTGAATTTAATCTATCTGTTTCCAAATAACTGTGAATCAATATCTCCATTGTTTGTTGATCTTCCATATCCATACCAGGTAGTTCTACTACATCTCCTTGATAAAATGCCAATAATAAATCTGATTTTTCATGTTCACTTATATTTTTATTTTCAATCAAATATTGTTTTAATCTATTATATATTATTAATATTTATACTAATAGATTCAATAGTAAAAACATGTATTTACAAACTTTTTTGGTAAATTATTGTATGCGTCATTTGTAAATTCATTTTCATTTTCAACTTTTAATTTAATAACCTCTTCAAATGGTTTTTTTAATTTAATCTTGTTGGATAATGCAGTTTTATTCTTATAAAAAAATGGTGTTGAATTATATATATCATTATTATCTTTTGAAATTCTATTAAATCTTTTTGGTTGAAAGTTTGTTATTGAACAATAATTTAAAGATATAGATAAAGTTGATTTTGTTAATTCATATAGTCTATTAGATGATTTCAAATGTTTCAAAACTGTAATCATCCTTATACTAACAATATAAAAAAAAAAAAAAAAAAAAAACTTTTTTTTTTGTCCGACTCGTTAGAAAATTACATTTATTTTTAAAATTTACCACTCTGATAATCTCTAAAAGCTTGTCTAATTTCTTCTTCAGTATTCATTACAAATGGACCATATCTAGCTACTGGTTCATTGATTGGTGCACCACCAATTAACAAAAATCTAGCACCATCATTACCACTATAAACTTCAATTTTATCTTTAGATGCATCAGTTTTTAATACAGCCATATGATTACTTTCAACAGTAGTTAAATGATTAGTTGGTCCAAATTTAGCATTACCTTGGAATACATAGGCAAATGCAGTGTGATGTGATGGAATTAATTCTTCAAATTTGATATTTGGTTCCAAAGTGACATCTAGTAACAATGGATTTGCAACAATACCTTGAATAGGTCCTGTTATATCCTTGTATTTACCTGCCAATACTCTTACATTGATACCATTTTCATTGAATTTTGGAATTTTATCTGCTTGAATATCTTGATATTGAGGTTTATCCATTTTATTGGCTTTTGGTAAATTTACCCACAATTGGAATCCCCAAACTCTATCACTCTTTTCAAACATTTCACTATGTATTAAACCTGATCCTGCTGTCATCCATTGTACTGATCCTGGTTTTAATAAACCTTCATTACCTTTATTATCTTTATGTTTAACTGCACCATCTAACATTATAGTTACCTATTTAAATATTAATAATCTTTTACTCTATATATATATAAAACTAGAATACATACTGTACTAAAACCTCTATGTGGATGATCACCAAAACCTGCCATGTAATCTTTTGGATTTTCACTTTTAAATTCATCCAACAGTAAGAATGGATCTAA